TGAGTCTACTATCCTTTAATCAACATGTTTAGACCAGTACTTTTCAAGTAACTGGAGCGAGCTACTCAGATACGCATTTTAACCAAATCCCCAGGCAGTTTGTCATCCCCTAACTCCATTCAGGCCCATGCCCCGGGGTCACCTCTTCACCCTCCACCACCCTCCACCGCTGTCAAACGCTTGTCCTCACTCCCAGGTGAAATCGACTTCCTCTGAGCAGGGCCTCTGAATTTGCTTTCTATCGCTGCCTGACAGATTTCTGCAAAATTAGAGGCCCGGGGTCTGAGAGTCGTTACCAGAATCCTTGGTGCTAGTAGGCAGGCTACATCGAGGTGGTGGTTGAGCCGCCTGGGGTGCGGGCCTCCTCCGGGGGACCCATGATGGGGTAGAATTTAAGGGCTGTGCTTGTGGGTCTGAGGCCTGGTTCCCGGAGCACCTGCTCCTCTGCCATGACAAGGTACAGAGGGGCTGCTCGCTTCCCTGCAGGCCAGAGGAGTGTGTCTATCAGACTTTTTTTACTAATGACTTTCTCCCCCTCTTTCAGAACGTTTGCTTGCCTGCCCAGCTCCAGGATAATCTTCTTTGGTTTATTCCAACCAAAAGGTTTGGTCCCCTAACCTAAACCCCCAAGTAACAACCCATCCTATCCACTGTTCCTGCTCAGTCCTGGGCAGATGCGATACAAGATATGTCCACCAGGGGGCAGGTGTGTGTGTGTGTGTGTGTGTGTGTGTGTGTGTGTGTGTGTGTGCGCGCGCGCGGGCGGGCGGGCGGAACCAGGGCTTTCTTGGGTTGCTAGGCAAGCGGTCTCCACCAGCTAAACCCTTGCGCCCAACAGGACAGGAGTCCTGGGGCCGTTCCAAAATCCCCGCATCCTCAGCCTCCGCACAGCACAGCGCTGTGGCACCATCCACAGGATGGTGTGCGTGGGCCCTGGGGCTCAGCCAGGGAGGACCCACCTGCAAGGCCCCCCAGTGGGTGTCTGCAGCCCGCTGTCCCTCTGGCCCGGAGGAGGCTGTTCCTTAGGAGCCCCAGGGTTTGCTGAACTCTTGCTCATGGTCTCCCTTCCAGGAGCCCAAGCTTTCCGGGCAACACAGCGCCAGCCCCCTCAAACTGGCGCCGCACGGCCGCCGTGGGACTCACTTTGGCTCGCTAGATAGCACCGAATGCCGGCTTGGTGACAGGTGCTTTGCCACCCTGCCAGGCCATGAAGCGACCTGCACAGACGACCCCACAGAGTCTTGGTAACCCTGTGAGCTCTTCTTGCACTATGCCTAGGGGAAGACAGAGGCACAAAGTGAGTCGCTGTACCAGGGTCGCACAGCGTGCAAGTGGGGAGCCAGGATTTGAACCCAACCGACTGCAGTCTAGACTCTGTGTAGTAGACTACGAGGCTCCTGGCCAGGCCTGCCCCTGGATGCTGGCGGCAGCCATCCCAGACCCCGAGCACATTCCTTCTCCGCTTTTTGGATTTTTTTTTTTTTTTTTAAGTAAACTTCATTTCTATTTGCCTTTTAGGAAGTATGATATTTCATTGCTTTAAGTTCAATCAAAGTCAACTAAAAAAAAAAAAAAAGTATCATGTAGATTGCTGAAAACAAGGTTTCCTATACTCTCATTAAAATACAAATATCATTATTGTGTGCTAAATTTCGTCATGTTTTAGCCATTGTCACAACCCTAGGTTCCTTTCAGCTTTTTTATGTTTTTGGTACAGGGTTGTACTACGCTTGGATGTGCAGTGATCCTCCATGTCTCAGCCTCCCCCGGGGCTACCACGCCTGGTCTCCGCGGCCAGCTTAGTGTCACCGGGGGAGGGGCTGGTGCAGCCTGTGGTTCCAGGGATCAAACCCCAGTCCCTGTGCTTGCCTCAGCAGGCACTTAGTCCGCTGAGCTATCTCGCCGGCCCTTCCTTTCAGCTTTTTGTTTGTTACTGATATGACTGCAGGCCTCATGCAGACCCGTGTGTCGCTTGTGAAGTGCCTGTTGTACACGCGGTGGTACACCACGTACTTCAAATACAGCGCCTTAGGGCACGACAGACAGTAATACAGGGTCTCAAAACAAGAAACTAAATATGTTCAGATATCTCCCACAGTCTGAAGAATACTGCTTTTCGTAAACTCATTGTATTTTATGGAAATCTTTCCTAATTCTAGAAGTAGAAGCAAAGTTAGTTTAGCAACACCTCAGCGCTGGGGGTGTAGCCTACAGCAGAGCACTTGCCATCTAAAAAAAAAAAAATCATCAAGGGCCAGCCAAATAGCTCAGCGGATTAAAGCACCTGCAAGCAGGCTCAGTGGCCGTGGTTTGATCCTCAGGCTTGCCGTGCCGGCCCCGCCCCCAGGGCGTGCTGAGAGGCTATTGGACACCCTGTAGACCCTTCCCTAAAATACAAAAAAAAAAAGAGGCCGGGAAGATGGCTCAGTAGAATAAGTGCTTCCCTGACAAGCGCAAGGGTCTGAGTTCAATCCCCAGTTCCGCAAGAAAAATAAATAAAGTAAAATAATGAAATCCACATTTGAAAAATAAATTTTTTTTAAATCAAATTAGAAAACAATAATACTGTGTTCATTTAAGGTTTGGGCTATTTTCTTTCTTTCTTTTTTTTTTCTTTTCTCTTTTGGCAAAACTGGGGATTGAACTCAGGCCCTTGGGCTTGCCAGGGAAGCACTTATTCTACTGAGCCATTTCCCTGGCCACGCTTTTGGCTATTTTCTACTATGCTAGGCCATCTACACTGGACGTGATAGGAAGAGCACTAGATTCTACGTTCAGTTCTTTGGTCCACAGTCCCAGGCCTGGGAGTATGTAGGCCACTGGGTGACCCGTGCAGCCTTCCTGAGCCTCCATTTCCACAACTATGAAATCGGGACACAGTGTGCAGCTTCTTTTTTGTCATTTTGCAATCGAGGAAGTTCCCCAAACCATTACTTTGCCCCGTCCATGCATCAGGAATTCACCAAGCTGAGCTGATGCCTTTTCCGAGGGCCTCTCTCTGGCTCTCCGAGGGCAGATGTGCACGCCTCTGTAGCGAGCTGCAGGCCTGGGGACCGAGCCCCTGTGCAGCTGTGACCAGCGTGTGGCTTGTGCCCTGTGCCTGTCCATTCTGCCTCCCACAGGCCCCAGGGCTATCGATGAGGGCTGCTTGTGAGCAAACAGTGCCAACACCCGTGCTAGAGTGGCACAAGCCTGTCACCTCGGACACTCCAGCAGTGGGTGACATATTCCATCCAGCTGCTGTTCAGATGGAGGCAGCGAGGGGTGCCGGGGAGATGGCTCAGTGGAATAAGCACTTCCCTGGCAAGTGCAAGAGCCTGAGTTCAATCCCCGGTTCTGCCAAACAGATGGAGGCAGTGAAAACAGCCTCATCTGGGGGAAGGGAAGCTCCTCTTCCACCCAGCCCAAGCACGGGCAGCACAGGCAGCTCGGTTCCGCAGGACCCAGACCTTGGCCTCTCTCCAAAGCCTTGAGACAGCATGGCTCTGATGCAGAAAGGACAGGGATAGAGAGGAGACTTGGAAGCTGCCCATGCCTGGGGACAGCAGGATGCTGCCACCGCTGCTTGCTGTCACTAAATAGAGATCATGACATGACATTGTTTTTTTTTGCGGAACTGGGGATTGAACTCAGGCCCTTGTACTTGCCAGGGAAGCGCTTATTCCACTGAGCCATCTCCCTGGCAACCTGACAATATTTGTATCTGTATTTTTTTCTTCTTTTTTTAATGTGTTTGGTACAGAGTCTCACTACACAGCTTGGACTCGTAGCGATCCTCCTGCCTCAGCCTCCCCAGTGCAGAGATTACAAGTGTGGGCCACCACACTTGGCATGGAGCTCCTTTTTCTTTTGCGGAACCGGGAATTAAACTCCAGCCCTTGCGCTTGCCAGGGAAGCACTTATTCTACCGAGCCATCTCCCTGGCCCCCAGGGCTCCTATGTTGTAACTTGCAGTTCAAACAGAAAAGCAGTTAAGGTCTTTTTTACCAAGATGGCAACGAGGGCAATGAAGGAAGCCCCTGCCTTTCCCAAAGATGAAGCCAAAGCAAAAGCTTTGAAGGCCGAGAAGGCCATGCTGAAAGGCGTCCGCGGCCACAGAAAGAAGATACGAACGCCACCCACCTTCCACTGTCCCAAGACACTGCGGCTCCAGAGGAAGCCCAGATACCCTTGGAAGAGCGCCCCCAGGAGAAGCAAGCTTGACAACTAAGCCATCATCAAGTGCCCCCTGACCACAGAGTCAGCCACGAGAAAGACTGAGGACAACACCACACGTGTGTTCATCATGGACGTCAAAGCCAATAAGCACCAAATCAAACAAGCTGTGAAGAAGCTCTATGACATTGATGTGGCCAAGGTTAATACCCTAATCAGGCCTAATGGAAAGAAGGGTTCCACTGGCTCCCAATTATGATGCATTGGATGTTGCCAACAAAAGTGGGATCTTCTAAACTGAGTCCAGCTGGCTAATTCTAAATACATACTTTTCCCCCTATAAAATAAAAAAGAAAAGCAATTAAGAGACAGATGGGCAAGGGAGGATTGGGGTGAGGTCTCTGAACTTCATGAGTGCAGGAGCTCCAGGAGCCGCAGTGGGATTTGGAGCAAGGCAGACAGCTGGAGGGCCTTTGGAGGCAGGGAGATAAGCGGGCTGCTAGGGGTCGGGGGCTTTCCCCTTAGGCCAGGCTTGAACCTGGGAAGCCCGGAATAGGCGTCACAGGGAGGGCTGGCCTTGGGAGGCAGCGCGGGGTGAGGAGCAGGGAAGAACGCGGGTTCTGGGGTCCGACTGTCCCAGTTCACATGCCGCTCCTCCCGCCGGGCAGGCTCCGCAGCTAGCGGCTCTAGAACCCTGCTTTTGCGCCGAGGCCTGAGCCCAGAGGAGACACAGACAGAGGCGTCCCTAGAGGTGGCGCCAGGCGCGCCGGCGCAACGGTTGCGCCTGGACTCCAGCCGCGGGCTCGGGGCCTGGCAGCCACCCGGAGCCCCACGCCCAGGCTAGGATGGGGCGGCCGCCTGCTCCCGCCAAGGCCTTCGCAGGAGTCGAGAGCAGCCGCTCCGAGCTCGCTGGGGCGCCAGGGGGAGCTCGTGAGGACGCGCCACGACTCCCTCTCTGTAGCTGGTTCAAACTGGTTTGGGCAGGGTGCGGCCTCGGCAGGCTGCATTCCAGGCCTCAGACCCGGAGCCTATACTGGGGCCTCCCCGAGGGCCAGGGACGCAGGGCAGGGCTGTGGGGTTGGCGCCCTGGGGCAGGAGCCACGCACCCCTGCGAGGCTGGGGAGGTTTTCTCAAATGTGTAGCCCTCTTTGTTGAAAACCATTTCTTTAGCAAGGTCCTTGGATGATGCTGGCAGGGGAACGAAGCCCTGGGTGGGGGCTGTCAGACTTTGGGGTGCGTCGGAATCAGCCTCTGAGTTGATTAGAAGACGCCCAGGATCTGCCCCAGCCCCACCACTCCGCTTCTGAAAGTCTGGGGTAGGACTCGGGCATCTGTTTTTAGCCAAATCTCACCGTTTGGAAGGAAAAGCTAGAAGCCCAGTGACTGTGTCAGCCCAGTTCCCAAGGGTGGGGGTCTGGGCAGGCAGCACATTTAAGAGAGGTTCTCAGCTATTCACAAGTGTCACAACCAACAGCAAATGAAGACATTAAACGTCCAACACGTTGTGACCCCTTCTGGCCTCCTGTCCCACCCCAAAGTGTCCGCGTTCCTGGACACAAGCAGGGTCCTTCCAGCACAGCTCTACACGTCCATCCCATGCGGCTGTGTCCATAAGCAGCCTGTCCTGTGATTTCACGTGTTTTAAAAATTGCACTGGAGCCTTCGGGGACTGCCTTCCCCCAGCCTGGGGTTCTAACCTCTGCCTATGGAGTGGTTTGGGGCACTCGCGTCCACGTGGGCATGTGAGGCCAACTTGGGGCTTTTCTGCAGGATTGACTATCAGAGGCCACGGGTGTGCTCTGCACGTTTTTCATAAACCCCTTTTCCTAAGCGCCTGAGACCCAAGCATTAGCCAAAAACTTTCCAGCAAAGGATTCTCTGGCTTGAAGACCTGAGTATTTGGGTGGGGATGCTGAGAAATTAGCAGCAGGCAGATTTGGGAGCAGGCGTTGGCCAGCGATCCATTACACAAGAGGGAGATCGGGCACCGGGAGAGTTGTCCTGAATATTTATTTTCAACCCTAAGACCAGGTCATTTTTTAAAAAATAGCATTTAAAAAAGTCAAAACTCTAGACTTCCTTATCTAGATTCACTGGACTCCCCTCTGCCCCTTGGCCTCCTAGGTGAACCTTGGTTGCAGGGGATGAAATCTGGAGCGCTTACGAATTTGCATTTAGGGGCTGGGGAGATAGCTCAGTAGAATAAGCACTTGCCTGGCAAGTGCAAGGGCCTCAGTTCAATCCCCGGTACCACCAAATAAATTCTTATTTTAAAAGCTGCCCCTAGGAGGGAGACAGGTCCGCACGAATTCCCCGACTTTTCTGGGGGCGTAAACCGAGCTGCGTAAGTAGAAGAGTCTAGGGTCCGGCAGCTGGGAGCTTCAGAGAAAGAGTCCACCAGCATAGCCTCAGCTAGGCCTAGATGCACCCTGGGGCCCCCGGAGAGCTTTGAGAATTGCCGGCGCGTGTGACTGGCTAGAGCACGGGGCCCTGGGTTCAAAGCCTGGCATCATGCCCCAACCCCGGGGGCTCTCGGAACAGCTTCCCTGTCGGAATTCTGATGGAAAGGAGTGATCCACACCGACGGTGCCTGTCCGTAAACTTGGCTGGATGTTGGAGCCCCCTGGACAACTTGAAAAACCTAGTGATGCTCAGGTGTCAAACCCTAAAAATTGCTCATGGCCTAAGTAAGGACTTTGAAAGTTTTAAATCAGCCCCAGGTGACTGCAATTTTGAGTTGCGAACTACCAGTTGACCTGGTTGTGCTGGCGCGGGTGCAGTGCTAGCCAGGAGCCACTGGGTGGCGCTGCCTGCTCAGGCGGCGCTCCGAACGCCGAGGGCAGTGGCCGCTGGGTGCGCACCTGCCCCGCCTCCGCCAGGCGGGCCTCGGGGCATGCAGCGGGCCGGGGCGGGGCTCGTAGAATCGGCCCGTGCGATCCCGCCTCCCTCCGGTTGCAGGTCGTGGATGACGACCGGCCTGAGCTAGTGCCGGGTGGGGTGCGTGAGCTCGCGCTCTTCCTGACCCCGGAGCCCGGAGCGGAGGTAGGGGGCCGGGGAGGGGGAGGTCTGGAGGTTGGGATCTGGGTCCCTGAACCCCGATCGGCACTCGGCATCCCAGCAGCATCCTCTCGCGCCATGAGTGGTGGGGGGCTAGGGTCGCCTTCCGGAGCCTTGGCTGCCTGCGGCCACCCGGCCCCTCCTGAAGTGACATCGCGTCCCGAGGCGCTTGTACTTCTGGACCGCGCAGGACACCCGGCCCGGGGCGCTCGGAGCGGATGCCCTAGGCCAGGTGGTCCCTCGGGGACGCAGAGCGGGTTCTGCGCCCACGGGGCTCCGCTCTCCCCGCGAACCGTGCAGGTGTCGGGAAGCCCAGGGCCCGCGGTCCGCTGCGGTTGCTAGGAGGAAAATACCACGTCTCTGCTTGCACTTTCTATTTTGGAAGCATAAATAAAAAGTACATCTAAAACCAGACTCTTTACTTCCAGCGAAGGCAGTCTGTTGACGGCACTGTGAAAAAGTTACCCAAGTTTGCAAGCAGTGACCTAGGGCCCCGCGCTAGCCCATTCTCTCTACCTTGAAAAAGCCGAACGGACATATTTTAAATAGCAGAGCATCTCTTTCTTCTTTTCTCCTCCACCCAAATAGGGTTCCCAGAGAAAACCAGCCCTGGGGTACGTTGTCATTCCAGACTCTGCAAAATACATTTGCAGTTGTACTTACTCCTCAGAGTCTTGATGTGATAGTTTTGCAAATTGCTTTACTCAAAATAGCACGGAGAACTGGTAGTCCCTGCGAATGGTCAGGTCTGGGCTGCTTTTTTTCAGGTGACATTCTGGACAGAGAGTGGCTGATGGAAGCCCAACTTTGTGACATAAACTGCCAAATTGTACACTTTAAAGGTGACTCTTAGCTGGGAGTGGAGGGGAGGCCAAGGCAGAATTGCCACAGTTGGAAGCCAGGCTGGGCTGCATAGTGAGTTCCATTTAAGTACAGCCTGACTACATAGCGAGACTATCTCAAAAATACATAGGGCTGGGGAGATAGCTCAGTAGAATAAGTGCTTGCCTGGCAAGCACGAGGTCCTGAGTTCAATCCCCAGTACCGCAAAAAAAAAAAATAATAATAATAATAACACATACATACATAAATGTGAATCTTACAGTGACTTATAGTTCAAGCAGTGACACGGGCAGACGTCCACGTCAGGGTGTATCATAAGAACCGCTCGCTGGGCAAGCAACTCGAGCCCCAAATGTGAACCTCTTATGTAGTGTGAAGCGTCCTAGGAACCACCAGAAAAGAAGCAAGCAAAGTTAGTTTTCACCATATTTAAAATAACTATACCCAATAGGCCATTTTAATATGTAATTGGTGTAGAACCTTATGGAATTTTACTTCTTTTAGCCAGGCTTTTAATACTGAACTTTTTTGGTGGGTGGGGGGTAGGGGGCGGGGAGAGAGCCTCACTGTGTAGTACAGGCTGGCCTCAAGTCACAGTGATCCTCCTGCCTCAGCCTCCCGAGTGCTGGGATTACTGGCGTGCACCACCATGTCCGGCTGAGCTTTGGCCACACCTCTGGACCAGCCACATTTGCAGGGCTCAGCATGGGTTGGATGACTTCTGTATCAGAGCCTGCATCTGGATCCTTTTGTCTTCCAGCAGCCGTGAGGAAGTAACACTTGATCCTGTCTCCTGAGCACACCCTGCCAGCAGGGTGCTGTGCCATTCGTGGATTGTGTCATCAAGTTGTTACAGTGACCCAGGGGCTAGGATATTGTTCTTTGATTTTATAGCCCAGCAAGCTGAGGCTCCCACAGAACCCATGAAGGTGAATGGATATGTAATTTATGAACCATTTGTACATGGCTCAGAGCTGTCACCCTGTGCCTGACTGGACTCTGGAGGACACCCAGCCCCCTCATCATGGCTTGGTATGTTGGCCAAGGGACCCAGAAACAGGTTCAGGTTCCGGTTGGCTTGTCTCTGGTCTAACCTTCACGTGGACCTCCTGTCCCTTCCCTTCCTCTTAGAAGCAAGAGGCCCTGCGCCCAGTGGATACACCTCAGCTTCATTTTGTCTCTATTAGGACTGTCTTGTGCGGGGACTGTGTGCGTTAGCTTTGTTTGCTCAGTCGGGGCTCCTTTAACTCGGAAGCAGGTTGGCTGGAGCTCATTTGTGAGGGGCATAATGAGCCCCAGCTCCCTGTGGCTCCATGCAGCAGTAAACTCATTCAGAACACTTGCTGAAGTTTATTTACCAAAAGCAACAGACCCTGAGTCAGAGCAGAGTCACGTGTAGCCCCTACTTAAAGCTTAATTCATTAGCAGCTCCCTAAGCTGGAAGTGTTTGCAGGTGGGCAAATGAGCTAGAAAAGATGAGCCTGCTTTGGGCGCGCACCAACACTGGGCGTGAGAGCATGCCACCCACCAAGCCATGGGCGGCAGGGGCCTCCCTCCTTCATGGTCACGGCCACACTGGGCTTTTGAGTGGACCATCTCAGCCTGGCCGGAGTCAGCTCCAGCGATGTCCCAGGTGTCCTAGTAAAGTGGAAGCTGCTTCACACAACCCCTGGAGTCCCTGATCAGGGAAGGACCTGAGACACCACAGGCAGACACTGGGCTCCCTACCTTCCTGACACTCAGAGGCAAGAGCAGGCACCTCAGACCTCTGAGTTGTAAAGAGTGTCTAAGGCACACCAGGGGCCATTGTCTTCTGGTCTAGGCTAGGGAAGGGACAGAGACCCGAGCCTGACTGGTAGCTGCTGCCTGCATGTGGTGGTGATGGGGGTTGTCTTTTGGGGCCTCAAAGCACCAACAGGAGTTGGCCAGCCCAGGGAGGAAGCATCCCCAGCAGAGGGAGTGGTCCTTGCAAAGGCCCGGGGAGGACAAATTGGGGTTTCCTGGAGATGAAGAAAGAGGAGCTTGGCTGGGTGACACAGCTGACAAGGCCTGGGGGGCACGCCCCAGCCCGGCCCCACCTTCCCCAGGTGTGCTATTAGTTTCAGTCTCACTCAACTTCCTCTTCTGGGAGAAGTTGCAGGGGAGGACACTGGAACTGACCCCAGGTGGCAGGGACAGCATGATGTTCCTTCTGGATCCCTGTGACTTTCAAGGGACAGGAGCTCCAGGGCTCCTATGGTGAAGCTCAGGTGGCCGCCGTATGGCCAATTCCTTGCCAGGCACAGCCAGATTTCCATTTGGTGCTGGGACTGGGCAGGTTTAGCCTGAAGGGTGGGGCTGGTGGCTGCGCTAGGAGGAAGTAAAGGTGGGTGACCTGTTCTCACACCCAGAGCCTTTGTCCAGGTGAGCAGGCCTCAAGCTGAGAAGCAGCGAGCAAAGTCATGGGGAGAATCATCCTTGTAGTAGACAGTTTCAAAGTTAAACAATCATCCACCAATCACAGTTGCCGAACTGAAAATCAACTTGGTATGAAAGGCCTAGGGCTTAAGAAATCAGTCACCATACACAGACAGGCTGCTGCCAGCTTTCATGGGCTGTCTGTATTCCCAGCCATACACATGGACAGCTTCCTGGAAGTACAATTTTGTTTTTATATTTTAGGACAAGGTCTACAGGGGTCTCAAAGCGTGGATCCGACTTGTAGTGATCCTCCAGTCTACAGCCTCCCAAGGGCTGGGATTACAGGAGAGGGCCACCACGCCCAGTCTTGGAATTACAATTTTGTTGACTGGATATCCGTGCAAAGATTGGATTTGAGACAAGCTGGTCCACCTCAGCTGACCATCACCAATAAGGTTCAACATAAGATTATTTTTTTAACATAAAATTCTAGCGGAATGGAGAATTACAAAATCTGACCCCAACCTTTTCATACAGTTTGAAAAAGGGTCAGACTTTTTTCCATCTTCATGTTTTGATAGAAACTGCCAATATGAAGAACATGATTCTTTCTTGGGAGGAGGATACCAACTGGGAATTGAACTCAGGACCCAGGCACTATGCCACTGAGGTAAATCTCCAGTCCCAAGAACATGGTTTTTCCCCTCACCCCCACCCCCCAACCGGGGATTGAACTCAGGCCTTTGCACTTGCCAGGGAAGCACTTATTCCACTGAGCCATCTCCCCAGCCCCAGAACATGGTTCTTGATCTCCATGTGATCAAGACTTTTGACAAGGTCAAAACTTGTAGGTTGGGCTGGCGAAATAGCTCAGCGGTCTAAAGCGCCTGCTTAGGCAAGCACAGGGAGCACAGTTCAATCCCCGGCACCACATGCTATGCCAGCCTGCCCCCCCAAAAAAAAAAAAAAAGTTATAGGTACTGTATTGGAATGTGGAACCTGGAGTTCTAGATTGTATTTCCTTTTCCGAAACTTCAGATCAAGGCGCCAATAAGATTCGAGCTCAGACTTACATCCCAGTCAAGCTTCTAGAAAAGAAGCAACTAGAACTGCAGTGGGATGTAGCTATCCAAGAGAAGGAAGTGCAGCCCTCAATCTCAGGGAACTAGAGACTGCTGCAGGAGCACCAGGCTGGGTTTCAGAGTGTTCGAAAGGGGTTGGGGAGATAACTCAGTCATCGAAGCATCTACCTGGCAAGCTCAAAGATCCGGGTTTGTCCCCAGTACCGCTCTGAGCCAGCCACCAGGCGTAGTGGCGCACCCATGTAATTCCAGCCCTGAGGGGGCTGAGACAGGAGGATCACTATGAATCTGAACTGAAGAGCGAGACCCTTAAAAAAAAAAAATTCTCAAAAGACAACGTGTCTTAAAATTTTAGTCTGGTAATTCAGACTAAAATGGTAGCACATGGCTGTAATCCCAGGATTCAGGAGGTGAGGCAGGAAAACTATAATGAGTTCAAGGCCAGTATAGGCTACATAGGAGACCTTGTCTCAAAGAAAGAAAAAAAAAAGGAAAAAGTATGAAGAAACCAGTCAAAGATGTAGGGCTCTCAGTAACTCGCTCCTGAATGGAGACCCCATGGAAAGACAGTGGTAAAATCCAAGATACTTCAACTCCACTAGCAGCACCATGGTCCAAATTAAGTGAGCTCTCAACACTATCAAGGCTGGGACTATAGCT